ATCATGATCTTAGTGCCATAGCTAAATTCAATTTCAATGCAACAATTAATCCATTAATAATATATGTTGTAGTTATTTTTACCAGAGTAGAATCGAAAATTCAATCCCCGGGTCGTGTCTCAAGGAAGGTCAGTGGGATTAATTTGCTCGATTATTCAATCACACGAGAGAGAAAACAAAATTCTAAACACTATAATTCAATAATTTGGGTTTTGATGCGAACTATCAACTAACAATTCTCAAACTAAGAAAGACAAAATTCCAAAAGCAAACAAATTCACTTAATGATAATTGCTCAGTTCTTGACACAATTACCAGGCAATCAGTTGCTCGGTTAAAGGACTTGAATCGTTTACTCGTCTAGAGGTTCACCCTCAATAACTCTTTGTAACAAGAGAATGAACGTTGGCGATCAACTTCAAATTCAATAACACATAGACAATACAATAACAATCAAGTCTATTCTAAATGAGCCTAAATCGACCGACGTCTCCCTTCTCGGTTCTAAACATCGATTAACTAGGTTAGAATAGTGATCAATCAACTAACCCTATAATTCACACAATTCGCATATGATGAGCAATTAACAAATACGTAATCGAAAACGAACCGAAACAATCATTCCCTATCCCTAGCTTACGGGATTAGCCACTCATCACAATTTCAACACAAAAATCCACATCAACCAAAGCAATCATCATCATAACAGAACGAGAAGAAGTGCTTACGATTAATAGGAAATCCAATGTCAAAAAACAACTAGCAATCCAAAATCTGAAATAGTAATCTTGAGGTTTTCACCTTACAAGATTGAATCTAAGAGAAACTAGAGAGAAAAATGATGTTCACTGATGAATAATTTGAAGTACACAAGTCTGGAATGCCCAAAATATGTCGTAAGCCTGTCCTAATACAACTCCAATTCTAAAATCCGCTAAAATCACAAATAGGGGTTAGCACCGCTAAGGTGCAAATAGGACGCAACTCAGGGGTCGTTAACCCTCTATAGCGCCGCTAGCTGCACAGGGGTGCGGCGCTAAGGCGTGAGCACCTCCAAAATGTTGATGTTTCGGGCTCGTGTGCTCTCGGCTAGCATTTCTTGGGTTCTATCCGAGCTGTATAACTCGATCTCCGAATGTTCTGGTCGCACGAACCAGTGTGGAACTCCTGGGAACCGGAATGGAATGCTTCTCCTATCGTCCAAAACCTGAAACCACCACAACCGGACAAACCCCAAAACAAGATAAAATAGGAAGAAAAACAAAGAGAACACTAAACACACATATATAACACTAAAACACGTGAAACGACTCGGAGGACTGGAAATCCCTAAGGAACGCCCTAAAATGGGGGAAACGACATACAAAGTACCAACAAAAATAGAAAAGGGGACAAACACTATATTATGCTTCAAGTTTAATTGATCCAATAAACATATCAAAACATTCATCAATAATTGATCAGTCAACATTATAGGAGTTATATGATTCGTATGAATATTAGAGTAGGAAAAACATTCAAGATCATGTTTAAATTGAGTATTAATGAAAATGTCTTGCCATTGACTTCTATTCTCTAATGTACTTGTATTTAATTAAATCAAATTTATCACGCTTGAGATCATGATGTTAGTGCCATAGCTAAATTCAATTCAATCCAACAACTAAACCATTAATATTATATTAAGATTCAAGTTTAATTGATCCAATAAATTTATCAAAACACTCATCAATAATTGAGCACTCAACGTTAATCTTCCCCAAATTTCCGATACACAAATATGTTTTTTCTTAGAGACAAATTAGTAGTTATTTGGCAAATATAATTCATCAAAATATAGTCTAACAACTAAACATTTCATGACTAATCGTAACATCAAACAAATTCTCCAAAAGTAGCACAAATACGAATCTTAAATCTATGGTGCAACATAGTTGGTGATTAATATTGTTGGAATATCACTTGTGAGTTGTTCCACATTAGTTTTATAGGAAAATGAGTCTCGTTTATAAGTATAGTGGATTACTTCTCTCATCACCATTTAGTTTCGAAATGGAACCTCATTATGGTGCACATATGTTCACCCTTAGTGTGTATGAAATGAACACGATGAGCATAGCCTGAACCTAACCCTGATCGACTCCATTTGAGCCGCTATGGATCGGGTCAAATTTGCGTCCACTGACTTGTTCCACCGGGTTTGAGTCGATTAACATTATTTATTATTTATTGATTTTAAAAGAAAATTATGTATATATTTATGTGACAAATATTCATGACAAGGTAAAATATTTTAAAATATATATAACTTTTACTATTATATACTATTATGTATATATTTATTTTGCAATATGTATTACTATATGTGTATTTATATATTCGTGACAAATAGTATATATACGCAATTAGTATGTATACATAATTCTTAAATTCTAACTATAAGATAATAAATAATAATTTATACATAATAATATCTAAATTCTAATATTATTTATATAATAAATAAAATTTGTTTATATATATATATATATATATAAAGTGCGGCCGATAATACCGGCCTTGCACGGTGCGGCCAACCAGCGATTGCAGCCAGTCGTTTTCTCCGACCGACCGGCAGGAGAAATTTTTATTAGTTTTAAGAAAAAATGTCAGGGACAGAACTGCCCAAAAGGACAATACGTAGTAAAAGTGAGGTGGTATTTAGTAATTCATTGTTCATAACTTTGATTTTCAGTTTTGTTCAGTTGGGTGCCATTTTAGACTTGATCGCACCAAATTGAATAAAATGTATAGAAAAGTCGAGATAAAATCGAAAATTGAGGTAAATCGTGCATTTCGTTCTTGTTCAGTTCGGTTAAAAGAATGGTTCTGTTTCGATTCATTTTTTCTTTCTAAGTTGTAGTTTTGTTGAAGGTTCGATTTTTGGATTATTGCGATTCAGTGCAATTTTTCTCTAAATCTTACCATTCCACACTCTTAGGATGAGTAACTGTGGTGTAAAATTGCCCATTACCGTAAAATAATTGAAAACAGAACTTATAAAAAAATTATTGAACATGCACTTTACATAGAAAATCAAACCAAAACAAAAGTGAAATTTTTTCTACTGTAAACAATTGAACCGAAGCACACTAAACTGCATTGTTCAACACGATCTTATATTGTGCCTCATTTTTATTTTTATTTTTTACATTTTGCGTTTAACTTGACGAAATTTAGTGCAAAATCACATCGAACCGAAAATGTTGAACCCAAACGTATAAGAAATAACAATTAAACCACACTACAATGTTGAGGAAAGAATCAAAATCTTCCACATTGAAATGCCGAATTGAATCGAACCACACGAAATTGTGCTGATCGCCTCAATGTTTCGGTTTCGACTCGGTTTTGGTCACATCGCATAACACAATCTACTTTAACTGATGTGGCCCATTTATGAGGCCCATTTTTATTACTTCGAGATACGAGTCAAATCCGGCCCAATTTGTATCGATTAAAACCATGAAATAAGAGATTCTGCGGTGCTTTCTCCTCCGCACCCAATTTTTCCGGCGATTGGGGTTTTGCTTACTCTCATCATCTTCCTAGGCTTCCATTCCCCAGATGGACCCGATCAAGAAGCGCAAAATCGAAAACAACGGCGCGGCGGAGATGGACGCCGGCGTCTTCAGCTCCTTCATTCTCACACCTGACGACGCCCGCAAAATCATCGAGCCTTTCACCCGCGAGCAGCTTCAAGAGATTGTTCAGACTGCAGTCCTGCGCCACCCGGACGTCCTGGACGCCGTACGATCTTTCGCCGATCGTGACGTCGCTCAGAGGAAGCTCTTCATCCGCGGCCTCGGCTGGGAGACCACCACCGAGAAGCTCCGGGCACTTTTTTCGCCCTACGGCGAGCTGGACGAGGCCGTGGTCATCCTGGATAAGGTCACCGGAAAGTCGAAAGGGTTTGGATTCATCACTTTCAAACACGTGGACGGTGCCATCATGGCTTTGAAGGAGCCGAGCAAGCAAATTGATGGGCGGATGACGGTCACGCAGCTTGCTGCAGCTGGGAGTTCGGGCGGTGGCGGGGCCGGTGCGGGTGGTGCCGGTGGTGGTGTGAACGGTTCAGTGGACGTATCTACGAGGAAAATTTATGTATCCAATGTGCCGTATGATATGCCCTCCGAGAGGCTTCTTCAGCATTTTGCTAGGTACGGGGAGATTGAGGAGGGGCCGTTGGGGTTCGACAAGGCCACGGGGAAGTCCAAGGGGTTCGCACTTTTTGTCTATAAAACTGCTGAGGGCGCCAGGGCATCATTGGTGGATCCTGTGAAGAATATTGATGGCCACCAGTTAAACTGTAAGCTGGCAATTGATGGAAAAAAGGGGAAGCCTCCCGGGGCTGGAGCTGTGGGGCCCATTGGGACCCATGGGGTTAATCAGGGGAATGGGGAAGGAAATACGGTTGCAATGCCTGGAGGACAGTATGGTGGTCCAGGTGGGATTGCTGGGCATTATGGTGGTTTAGGTGGCCAAGGATTATCAGCCACTGGAAATCAAGTAGCGGGATCCAATTTAGGGGCTGGTGGTGGTTTTGGTTATGGAATGGGTGGGCCTTATGGTGGTGGTTCTCATTTTGGTGGGCCTATGGGAGCTGCGTATGGCGGATTGGGTGGTAGTGCAGGTGGTGGGTATGCTGGGGTTGGAGCTGGATTGAGTGGTGGTGGTCGTGGATTATCTTTGTATGGTTTGCCACCTAGCTCAGCTGGGATGGGTTCTGGTGATTATCCACAGGGTGCAGATTACAATGTAACTTCTGGTGGGTATCCAAGCCTTCATAAGCAACCAAGAGTTCAACCTGGGGGGTCTTACCAGGGCATGCCTCCTTACTACTGAGGTAATTATCTTTTACCTGAAATTTTTTGGCTTGCATTGATACATTTCCGTCATTGTGCTTGCATATAGTACAATCCCTTGTTTGCTCTCGACAAAATCTGTTCTCATATGTATGATGACTCTTATGTGCTTATTATTTTAGAGCATCACAGTTGGTGCTCTTGAGATTCTACTTATAATGGGATTTTTTTGGTTCTGTGTCACTCCATTTGCATGTTGTTCCTTGATGTTGGAATGTTTCTAGTTTGTGCTATAGACACTTAGAATCAGCTTATATATTCAAGATGATGCATTGTGTGCCATTGTGTTATTACTGTTATGGCACAACAAAATTTGTTGATGCTTTGTTTTGTTCTGCTGTTTTCTGCTGTGCTGCAAGTGAATTCATTGGTGCAAGCTACCTTCTTTGATGGTAACAATGTACATGTAGGACTTGTGGAACATTATAGTTGTAGATATGAAATGTAATCAATGTTATTATATGGATTACTAAATTGTCCAATGCTGAAGTTTTCTTCACAACTACAGTTTACCTTTTTTTTTTTCTCCAAGATAAGCTCTGTCTATGGGAGATAAATTGAAAAATATGAAGCAAGACCTACTCCCTCCCGTCTCAGAAATAATTGAAGAATCCATGCATGATAAGCTTGCTTACAGTTGGAAGTTTATAACTATTGCTACTTATTCTGCAAGACATGTATGAGTATGAATAATAGGCTTACTTACACTTGGAATTTTATAACAGAATTTTGAATTATTACCCTAGATTACAGTTATAGAATATCATAGAACTGAATAACCTATGCCAGTTATTTTCCAAGACTTGAACGAATCCATAAGAGAGCTCAGATCGAATTGTGTCAATTGGAATTCTTCCATTCCGG